CCCAAAAATAGAACAGAAAGGTTTCTTTGAAGCATCCCCCCCTCCTCTCCAGCACTTTGAGTTTCTCAAGGGAGCTGCGTTGTGCATTGTCAACTCAAGGCCACCCGCTTTTAAAAGGGAGGTACCATCCTCCCCTCCTGCCCCAGTGTTCTGGATGCGTGTGAGTGGCTCGGACTGCTCTGGAGTAGCCGAAGCAGGACCATGAAGGCTGCTCTGAGGGTGCTTTGGCTGTGCCTGGTGCTGTTGCTTCCCTCTGCAGCACTTCCAAGAAAGGGGAGCACGGGAGAAAGGCTTTCCCCAGTTGACCAAATGGAGCTGAGTCTGCCAGAGGAGCTGGGACTCGGAACAGAGGAGAGACGGGGAGAAAATGCAAGTTCCCAGGAAAGAGTGAGACCCAGCTCCCTGGGGAGCCCCAGGCTGGCTGCTGCTGCTCGCCCCTTTTCAAAGCCAGACCCAGGACCAAAATGCCTCCAGGAGGTGGCTGAGGATGGGGGCACCAGCTCCAGCCTGCACCCTTGGCCACTCGGGGGGCTGGAGGGGCCCGTGTGCAGGGTGACAATGGCCGAGGACGGGCTAACCCCGGGGCACCTGGACGTGGTGGGGGTTCTCACCCACTACGAAAGCAGCTTCATCAAGCTCCTGAGACAACGCACCATCTGGGACCAGAGCTCTCTGGAGACCTTCGGGCTGTGCCTGGGCGGGGAGGCGGGTGCTGCTCTCCATCCCCTGAAGCACATCCATGCACACGTGCTGGAGCCGGGGCAGGACCGCTTCCTCGTGCTGCATCTGGAGGAAGGTTGGTGGGAGATCCCTGCACTGGGGCTGAGCACGGGGCCAGGGGAGGCTGATGCCGTTTGCTTGTCCCGAATCAGGGATTTAGGCACCAAATTGTATGTGTGGGGCTGGGTTCCTTTTACAAGCAGTGAATACAGTAATGTCGTCCCTGCTTGTGGTGGGGGGTGTGGTGGAGCTAAATGATCTTTAAGGTCCTTTCTAACCCAAACCATCCTGTGATTCTATGTCTTCCTGGGTCCCTTTTTAAGAAGCTTTAGTAGTGATGAGGGCTGTGTCCCTGCCTGTCACTAATGCCCAGGGGCCATGCTCTTGGTGGCTTCTGTGCTTTCAGGATCACAGGCGTTTCTCATTCAGGTTAGGACCCCACTGCAACTCTGATTGAGGAAAGAGAGGAGAGGGTCCTAGAGACAGCGCTGGCTGCTCCTGCTGTGCTGTGTCCCCAGCTGATCTCACACTGGGTGTTGCTGAAGGGCCCTGGGCTGGCTCGTGTAGCTCCAGCCTTACACCAAACCCAGGCAGCTGGGGAGTGGCTCCCAGGGGCCACAGTGTCCCCAGGCAAGGAGAGATGTCTCAGGAGAAGAGATTTCCATGGGGATCTGCCCATGAAAATCTGCCAGAGCCGCTCTGGGGGCGAGGGAGGCAGCCCCTGCTGACACCTCCCGAAACTGGGAATGGGGATTTCACATGACCATAGGGTCACACACAGCAGGCTTTGCTGTGTCCCTCCAGCCCATCAGCTCCTGCCTCTGATGCTGCGGCCACCACTCGGGCCGGGGCTTGCTCCCGAAGCCCCTTCCCCACCGGTCACGGCGGAGCCGCGCCGGGCTCTCACCGCTGGCTCTCCCTTGCAGTGCAGTGGGAAGCCCCGGCGCAGCTCTGGTTCAAGCTGGTTTTCCAGCCGGAGGTGGCCCGGTCGCTGGGAGCCCTGCGCTTCGCGGTCCTGCTCTTCTACCTGGGCCCCCGGCAGCGGCCGGGGCACCGCGAGCAGCTGCTGGCCACGGGCACCGGGCTGGCGAGGGAGCAGGTGGGTGCCGGGGGCTCCGGCTGGGAGAAAGGGAAGGGAAGGGAAGGGAAGGGAAGGGAAGGGAAGGGAAGGGAAGGGAAGGGAAGGGAAGGGAAGGGAAGGGGGACTCGGCTCTGCCGGGCCAGCACCGGCACCATCCCCTTCCCCTCCCTTTGCCGTCCCCTTCACCTTCTCCATCCCCTCCTCCTGCCTCCCTTTGCCATCCTACTCCACTCCCTTTGCCATTCTCTCCCCGTCCCCTTTCCACCCCCTCCCAGTCTGTTTGCCCCTCCCGACCACTTTCCCCAGTTCATTGCCGTACCCTCACTGTCCCTTTTCCATCCTTCCCCCCTCTTCTCCCATCCCCTTCCAGCCCCTTTTCCATCGCCTCCCAGGCCCTTTTCCACCCCTTCCCGTTTTGCCGCCCCCCCCCCGAGCATCGCTCCCTGCCTCCCGCCGGGGCCGAGCCGTGCCTGCAGATGGAGCTGTTCCCCCGGCGTGTCCCGGGTCCCGTCCTCGCTCCCCGGCACCGCAGCTCCATCGCGGGGGTCCCGAACTACCCGGGGGTACCAGCGGGGGGGGGGGGGGGAGAAGGAGGAGTCCCTCGGGTCCCCCCCGCGATGTCTCACCCCTTGCGCCTCCCGCCGCCGCGCAGAGCCTCTGCCTCGGCGGGGACACCCGGTACCTGGCCCTGGGAGCCGCCGTGGCAGCGGTCACCCGCACCAGCGAGCAGCTCCGCTTCAAGGCATCCCTGGCCCTCAGGCAGAGCGGAGCGGGAGGTAGGGACACGGCACCCCCATGGTGTGTGTGTGTGTGGGGGTACAGCGGAGTCTGTGCCCTCTGTGTCCTGGGATGTGCCCAAGCCCGTCTAACGATGGGCTCTGGGGACGTATGGGGGACCCCGGGCCGTGCTCCTCACCGCTCTTCTCCCCACCAGGTGCCCCCCTGTCCCCTGCAGAGGCCCAGCAGCTCCTTTTCGGCTCCGATGACAAGTGCTTCACCAGGATGACCCCCGTGCTGCTCCTGCTGGCCAAGTCACGGCAGGAGGAGGAGGACGAAGCGGCTTTGGCCCCTTCTTCCTACCTGTCTGCAGATGGGGTGGTGGATGTGGCTCCATACCCACAGCTCAGGTCTGTGACCCTCACTGCAACCGGGGTTGGGGGGGGGGGGGGAGAGGAGCAGCCCCAGCCCCTCTACCATGGGGCAGGGCCTGGTGGGACCCTGTGACCCTCTCTGTGTTCTCCTCACAGCCCACCCCAGGCCGGGACCGAGGAGCTGCTGTTCCCCACTGCACCGAGCCAAGCCAACGCTTCTTCATCCCCAGTGCCCGGCGGCAGCAGCCAGTTCCTGGGAATCCTGACCCGGTTCATCCAGCAGGTCCTGAGCCCCTCCAGCGAGCCGCCCGCCCAGCCCAGCTCCCACCACTGGCTGGACTTCCAAGTGATGGAGACCCTCCCGCACCAGCTGCTCAACCTGTCCGAGGAGGCAGCGCTGGAGCGCCTGGTGCAGTCAGAGGAGCCCTCGGTGCTGCTTTTCCCCCAGGACAGTGGGGCCGTGCTGGAGCAGCACTTGGGGGACTGGCAGCCGGAGGGGACCGTGCTGCAGCTGCTGCTGGGCAAGCTGGAAGCGCTGATCCAGGAGCTGAAGGAGATCCCTGCTTTCCAAGCCAACATGGGCCTTTTCCAGCATCTCCTGAGCTTCTGCTACTACCCACCGGGGCCTGGTGAGGGTGCGGGCAGGGGGCAGCCGCCCGGCTCGGGGAAGCTGCATGCGCTGCTGCTGCTGAAGGCGCTGCAGACGGTGCGGGTGCGCTGGCAGGAGCGGCGGCGGGTGCAGCGGCACAACCGCAGCGCTCGGCACCAGGCTCACTGCCGCCTGCAGGAGCTGACCATCGACCTGCGCGACCGCAAGTTCATCGTCATGCCCACCGTCTACGCGGCCAACAACTGCGAGGGGCCCTGCAGGCTGCCCCTCTCCACCCGCGTCCCCAGCTACTACTCGCACACCGTGCTGCTGCTGGGCATGCAGGAGCGGGGCTCGCCCCTCCAGCGCGCTCCCTGCTGCGTGCCCGTCCGCTACTCGGACCAGCTCATCATCAGCCTCTCCGCCGAGGGGCTGGAGGTCCGCAAGTTCCCCAACATGGTGGCAGAGGAGTGTGGCTGTCGATAAGAGCCACCCGCCCGCCCTCAGCCTGTTCCCCGCTCCCCGTTTGCCTGCGCAGCTCGGGAGCTGCTTCTCGCCGAGATGGGAGCTCCCTGCGCGTCCTTTCCCCGTGGTTTATAGCTCTTTAGCGTTGCTCTGGTTGTGGGTTCAGCTGTGGCTGTGCTGCTCCCTGGGGGCTGCTCTGCAGCCTGGCATGCCCTGTGCCTGCTCCTGATGCCAAGGATGCTCCAGCTGCCATGCTGCAGCGTAGCTCTGACTCCATAGTGGGGTTTGGGCTGGATACAGGGCATCGGGGGAGGGCAAAGCATGGCAGAGCCAGCCACGATTATGCTTATTTATCCCTTGTGTTCCTGTAGCAGCTGGACAAGGGCAGTTGTTGCTTGCCCAAAGCCTCCTCTGCAGCATCCTCTGGCCCCATCACTAAGCCCTCGCTGCCCACACAGCTCCACCTGTGAAAGCAGAACAAGAGGCAGAATCCCCTCACAGGGACCAGCCTTTACCTGGGATCTGTCCCCATGTGCCCTGGGGCCATAGGGAGGCGCTGACAGAGACCCGGGGCTCTGCATCTCTCTGCGCTGACCCCGTTCTGGGGTGAGGGAGGGAGCGATCCCGTTACTCCTCCTGCCTGCTCACACCATTAATGGGAGCAGGCACAAGCGGCTGCCAAAGCACCTGCTCCACGTCCCCGCCAGTGTCAGCACCGAGAGCCCGGCTGCTCCCAGATCATCTTCCCAGCTCAGCCTGGACAGGGCTGCCCAAGCTCCAAACCCTTGGTCATCCCCTCCGGTGCTGCAACCGGCCCCATCCTGCAGCCCATGCAGGGACCTGAGTTAGCCCTGAGCCCCTGTCCATCGGGGATGGGGTCACAGAAAACACACAAACGCAACCAGCAACAAGAGCTTTTCTTGTTTGATTTTTTTCTTTTTTTTTTTTTTAGACACCACTCCTTCTTAAAAATGAAAATAGTTTATTTTAACCTGCACTGATTTAGCACATACTTAATCCTGCCGTGGGCTGGGGCTGTGAACGTCTCCTGTAGTTGCTACAGCGCTGCGTGATATTGCACTTGTGTTTCGTTCCTAAAAGCGACTCTGTGAGGGCAAGGCCTGAAGGGATCCCCGGTGATGGGCTCTCCAGCCCTGGTTTCTGCCAGCAAAGCTTTGTGCCACCCTGCAGCGACGGCACCGGGACCCGGCGAGGTGATCGCTCCTCTGGCACCTCTCTGAGGATGGCTTCCTTCACCCAGAATGTCATTTCTCTCTCGATTTGCTTTGAATAAAACCATTCACTAAGAGCTGCACAGTCTGGAGACAAACTCTGTTCACTGGGATCCCTGTGCCCACGGTGCTGTCTCGATGCCTCGGGACCACGAGGGAAAACGGGCTGCAAGAGAGATTTTGGGTGGGATGGAGAAGTCGCACCAAGGCCGGGGGAAGAGAGAAGCTCCTTCCCCCGGTCCTTTCAGGTTGCCTTTGTGCATCTAATCCAGGGGGGCCCAAAGTCACCAGGAGGCTGGTGCCAGGCTCCCGGGCTGCTCTGCTGCTGCTGGGTGATCCTGGACCTGCCGCCCGTGCCCAGGGTGTCTGCGGAGAGCAGGCAGGGAGCAGCAGGGTTGCACTGCCGGGGGCACTGCCGGCGTTGGATCCCATTCAGCATCACCGAGCCCCTCGGCTGCCCCGGCCTCAGTCACGCCTCTTGCCCTCCCTGGGCCGGGCTGGGCCGTCCTCCCAGGGCTTCCTGCCCTTCTGCTGCCTCCAGTCCCGCTTCGGGCTCTCCCGGCTGTCACCGGCTCTGCCGGGACGTCCCTTTCCCCCCTCCCTCCTGGGCTCGTCCCGCTCCCGCCGGCTCTCCCTCCCCTCCCGGCCCCGCTTCTTCTGGGGCTGCTGCTCCGGTTCCCGGTGGGTCCTGGGGGCTCTGCTGGGTCTGTCCCCGTGCGTCCGGTCCTTGGCTCGTGCCTCCCTCCGGCTGCTCCGCCCCGCCTGGGCAGCACGGGCCTCCCGCGCCTTCTCCTCCTTCTTCTCCAGCTTCTTCCCCCGGCTCTTCTTCACCTCTGTCACAGGTGGTGTCACCTCAGGGACGTCCGTGGGTTCTTCTGTGGGCTCTTCATCCTCATCCTCATCCTTATGCTCATCCTCATCCTTATGCTCATCCTCATCCTTATGCTCATCCTCTTCCTTATGCTCATCCTCTTCCTTATGCTCAACCTCTTCTTTATGCTCATCTTCTTCCTTATGCTCATCCTCCTCCTCATCCTCCTCCCCTGGTACTGAGCGGCCAAACCACTTCTTGAAGATCCAGGGCTCTGCCTGGGGTGGAACAGAGGGGACCAGGCACTGGTGAAGCAACCCAAGGGACAGGGACCCCTCTCCCATGGTTCCCCATGGGGATGAGATGCTCCCTCCCCTCCCTGGGAGGTGTCTAAAGATGCTCACCCCCTCCCCAACCCAGACCCATACCAGGTTGCTGTCGGCATCACTGTCATCATCACCGTCATCGTCACCATCATCCTCCTCCAACATGCTGCTCTCTGGCTGGACAGGTTGGGCAGTCACCACTTCCTGGACCTCTTCTTCCTTGGTGGTGACCACCTCTGTGAGGGGAGGGGGGCAGACCACCATCAGCAGGGGATGGGGCTGTTTGGGTGTCATGTCCCAGACATGGGGTCCCAGGGCCACCCCACCCTGGGACACGGCCCCATCTCAGGCTGGATCCAGGGGATCAGGGCAGCACAGAGCATCCGAACCCACCGTGCAGGGGAGGAGGCGGTGGCGGGTCCTGCCTGCCGCGGCTGACTCCCTCCTTGGAGCATGGAGCTGGAAGAGAGGAGGGGAGAGGAGGCAGGAGGTGGCAGCAGGGTCCGACCACCCCGGCCCCATCCATCCGGCCCCCGGCTCACCTTGAAGCACCTGGAAGGTGACGCTGAGCAGGGCAACGACAGAGGCCACGAGGATGCACTTGTTGAGGGTGAGCCCTTCCCAGAGGAGCGGCTCCTCCGCGGGGTCCAGGCTGGGGGGCTCCACCTTCCTCTGCACGGGGAGGCTCTTGGGGACTGGGGACCACGAGGAAAAGCAGAGTTATGGGGAGAGCTGGGAAGCAGCAAAGGGCTCTGAGCTGTGCGGTGGGAAGGGCTCTTAACATGCTCCTGCACAGCCCAAGCAAGGCAGGCGCAGGGGCAGGAGCTGCAGAGACCAGCACAGAAAGGTGTTTGCAATGTGGAGATGGGGTAAAAAGGGACATGGGGGCTGAATCCCCAGTGTTTGGCCCCTGGCAGTGTCACAGCATCGTGGGGCTCAAGTGGGAATGCCTCTGCCCATGCTCCTGGCTCTGCTGCTCTCCCCCACACACACCCCAGCAGCAGATTTGGCCAGGGCAGAGAGGAGGAGGAGTTGGTACCATTGTGGCCATGGGGCCAGGCTGACCATTTTGGGGGGCAGAGAAGGGCTTTCCTGCACACCTACCTGGAGGGCTGGCAGCACTGCCTTTGGCTCCCACCTTCTCCGCCCTCTTCTTGTCCACGCCGAGCGGCGCTGGCTCGGGCATGCTCAGCTCAGGCTCGTCCAGATCCTGCTCAGAGACACCAAGCCGGCTCCTTGCCTCCTCTAGCCCCTGTGGGGAGGGGTGTGAATGTGGCTGGGGGGGGGCAGAGCATCACAGGGCCCCATGGGGAAAGCAAGCAGCATGGCAGGGTGGGATGGGGACATGGTGCAGGTCTGTGCCGGGAGAACAGGGAGCGCACGATGCGCTGGGATCTGTGTTTGGGGCTGCTTGGACACAGGAGCTTTGGTGGCCAGGCTGGCTGCTGGCTGCTGTCATCGGTGCCATAAGGGAGGGCTGCCACCGGCAGGGATCAGCGCAAGTGACAACCGAAGGATGCAGCCTTCGGTGACCCGGGGATGGGCGCTGCAGAGCCCTCCTGGATGGCGCTGTGGGACAGTCCCCCCCCCAGCCCTGGGACACTGTGCACTTACATGGGCTCTGCTGCTCTCCCCGTCACTGCTCACCAGCGCGTCAGCATCTGTTAAGGACAAGCACAATGTGGCTCAATAGGAGGTGGGTTTGGGGAGGTGGCGACGGCCAGGGGCTGGGGGTGTGTGCCACCCACCGCCCTGCAGAGCGGGGACATCCTGGCCATGGTTAGACAGGACACCCGTGGAGGGAGGATTCGGAAGAGAGGCAAAAAGCCCCTTGGCCATCGCGGCAGCAGCCGGCGTGGTTGGGGTGTAAGGGGAGCACTGGGCAGGTCTGCGGCTGCTGAGCCCAGAACGTCACCGTCCTGGATATCCCAAGGGAGCTGCAGCCAAACGGGGTGGTGCCAGCCCCTGCCAAGGCGCACGGCGGGGGACAAACATCCCCCAGACACCCTGGAAACACGTGGCTGGAGGCTGGAGGCAGCTCAGGCCGTGGCCTAGAGAGCAGGACCGGGTACCATGGAGTACCCAGGCCTCAAAGAAGACCTCAAGTCACCCACGAAGCTCAGGGATGGCTCTTGGGGCTCTTCCTAAATGGGAGAGAAAACCAGAGCATCCCTGGGACTCTGCAGTGGTTCGATGCAATGAAGGGCTGGGAACGTGCTGGGCTCCTGGGGCTCTTCTCTGCCCCTGGGTCTGGGCTGAGCTATGGGGTGAGGATGCACCAACAGGGTCCCAGCACCAAGTGGCCTCAGTCCTTGGCATCTCTGAGCACAGCCCTGTCTGCGCTGGGATCTGGCTGCCATATCCTTGCAAGTCCCCACCAGGAGGAGGAAGTTTTTGTCCCCCTTTGAGCCAGATTCAGTTTATTTTCTCCCAGTGGAAGAATGAATGTGGAGAAAAGACACCAGTTCCCAAGATGAAATCCAAGACACAGTATTGGAAGCAAAACAAAGGAATAAAAGGAAACTTCTCAGCTGGGGAACAGCAGTCTGAAAGGTCTTTGCTTTCAAGAGGAAATGAAAAACCAAAGCCTTTGGTTTTGCTCTAGTGATAGAGAGCCTGGTCCTTCCTCTGCTGTGGTGGCTCGGAGGGCTCCCAGCCCTGAGGAAAGCACAGAGACAGAGAACTTCTCCTTAAAGAGCTTTTTCCCCCAAGTCCTTGACGTGTTTTTGGCGCGCACGGCAATGCCCAAAGATGAACGCAAGGAAGATGAAGGAGGGCACAAGCCTCTGTGCTCTTCACCCTGGCTACTGCCGACATCCCTGCAGGGCCAGCACCGTGCAGGCGCCCCTTGATGTCCATTGTTGCCCCAAGAGTTGATGGTGACACAAAAAGCCACCTCTGCCAGGCTGAGCACCCCATTCAGCACCTCCTGGCCACTGCCTTGCTGTGAGCACAAGGTACCTTTGCTCCTGTCCTTCCTTGGCTGCCTCCGAGTGCTCCCTGCCTGCCTGGGCAGCTCGTCCGTGGCCTCGGGGCATCCCAAGTCTTTCTCCTCACCGGGACCTGCTGCCATGTCACTAAACCAAGAGGGATAAACCAAGTGGGCAGCCCCCGGTGCTGGGCAGCAGCATCCCACAGCACACAGCGTCCCACCACATCCTTGCTGTGGTCCCCACCCCTCATCGGAGCTCAACTCCCATCGTGGGGTGCTGGGACGGTGCCTCCATCCCTAGGGCATCACCTGGGTGGAGGAGCCCAAACCACCTCCAGCCCCAGGGCACATTGAGAAGCTTTGCTGCGATGGCTGCAGGGCTCTGTGACAGTGAGAGCCACACTGTGCCCGGGCACACAGACACCCACCCCCTGTGCCAAGCACCCCACAGGCATTAACTCAGCCCCAGAGCTGACCGGCTCCGTGTCTGGGTCTGTCCCTCTCCTGATGGGAGATGGGGTCCATGCCCTGATAGGAGATGGATGCGTTCCAGGGCTCACGTGGGATCCTCATCCCCAGCCAGCATGCCACTTACAGGAACAGGCTTCCTATCGGACCAGTTCCCAGCACACAGCCACTGCCTACGGCAAGCAGAGTAGGGAATGCCACTGATGCCAGGGACGTTTTGCCCATGGCAGAGCTGGTCACCCACAGCCCCAGAGGCCAGCTCCAGCCCTTGGCTCACTCACACTGACATCCCATACAACAGCTCGGCCCATCCATCCCTTCCCTGGCTCTTCCTGTGCTCCCACTCCCCCGGACTCAGGCTCCACGTGCGAGATCCTCTCTTAAATGCCCAAAATTGCAGGTACCCAACAAATACTGAGCTCTGCGCTGTCGTCCCCGGGACCGATCCTGTACAAGCTCCCGAGGGTGCTGCAAGCGCTGACTCACATCAAAGAAACTTCCAAAAATAGTCCCCTCTCGCTCCCTGCCCTCCCCGTGCACGTTGGAATGGCAGCACTGGGACAAGCCCCGGGGCCCTGGACCCACTGGGCTGAGCGCTCCCTCATGGGCTGTGCCCATGGGCTGCCCCATGCCCCACCAAAAGGGTTAAAAGCCACCAAAAGTCCTACCTGGGGCTGGCCACCAGCGCTGCTCTGCCTCCAAGCCCGGCTGGCCCCGGCTCTCTGGGGTAATATACAGCAACAGCTGCCCAACGGTGCCGGAGCAAAATAGCACCCAATCACCGGGAGGCCGAGCACCCACCCTGCTGCAGCCCCACAAAAGGCAGTTTAGCCCCAAGCACCGAGAGCAGGGGCTGCTTAGGGAGGCTGGAGGGGGATGTGGCTCTCAAGGGCATCTGGGGCATGGCTTGTCCCTCTGAGCCCCCCTGGAGAGCACAAAGAAGAGCGGAGGGGCCGTTTGCTCCCCGTCCTGGGTTAGAGACATGAGTGCTGGGGATGCAGGGGCTGAGCAGAAACCTGCCTGGCACGGTTAAGAAGGTGCAGCTGAGGAGGAGCAGTCCTCTGGGACCAGCGGTGCTGGTGGAAACCACCTTTTGCCAGTGGGTTTTTGCTCTCCGATCCCTCCGATTTCCCTGTGCTACCAGTTCCTACAGCCAAGTCCCCAGGAGTCCCACAGCCACAGGCACCTCTTGGGGAGGCAGGGAAGGATGTGGTCCCCACTGCAGCTTCCCTCTCAGGGGAGGTGGTGAGGAGGTGAAGCATCTCTCTTTTGGGGAGCTGAAAAGGACCATTGGGTGCAAGATCACCCAGATGGTCCTTACCCGTACCAGCCTGGCACATCTTGGCAGCATCCTGCTTATGGAGCATCTCTCTTCATGGAGAGCCACTTCTGAAAGGCTTCAGATTTAAAAAAAACCAAATTGTGACATTTCATGTCTGCAGTATTGCCATTTTCATTCAGCAGAGGTGTGAAAGGTCTTTGATTGCAAGATCTAAAGGAGCAGTAAACTGGGCACTGGCATCCCCGAGGGATGCAGGGCTCTGGACAGCCGGTGGGACTGTGTCATGGTCCTGCTTTAAGACCATGCAGCAAATGAATTTGGGAGCAGTTGTCTGCTTTCCAGGGCAGGGATTTCCCCCCTTTGGGAGAGGAAGGACCCAGCACACCATGATCCCTGCTGCAGAAGCTGACTGCAGATGGAGGGAGGGATGGAGCTGTAAACATGGCCCCCACACCATGCCAGGGCTGCGGACACACGCATCAAGGGGAGTTTTCCCAGTTTCATTCCCACTCCAGTAAGGTCAGGGCTGTTAACTGGCAAGGCATGCTTGCTTTATAGGGATGTAATGAAAGCAGCGAATCATTAACAGGCCAAATAAAACCCCTTTCTTCTCCCAGTTAATCATGTTTCCCATGAGCTTGCAGGCTCTTAAGCTTTCTCCTGCCTCCCGTGGGTGAGCTGATCCCTCCGGGAAAGAACCTGGGTTGGAATGGAAAACATCTGCATGCACAGGGCTCAGGGAAAAAGTCCTCTCACTTGGTCCCTGCATGGGGCCACAGGACAGGGAGCGCTCCTCACCCTTTCCAGCACCCTTCAACGTGCAGTTCCTGCATGGGGAAGGGCCAGAAGCCTTTTTGCCTCCACACGTTTAACTCTGAGCCGCTTCCCACCAAGCTGCAAAGCCTCCATCGGCCAATTTATCCCAGGCAGATGGAGGAAAGAGATTCCCAGAGGCAAATTCTTTCCTAATTCCTTCAACCCCCTCCCAAATCCCGGCTTCTTCCTTGCCCTGGGACTGATAAAAGCGTCTCTGGGATGGGGTTGGCTCCGAGAGGGGGAAACACGATCCGCTGTGAGACCAGGAGGGGAGAGAGCTGCTGGTGACGGATGGAGGCTCGGCTGCACATGGACTGTGCTCTGTGTCCAGGCTAAATATTGACTCTCTGGCTTTGGCTTGATAACACGAATCTCTCTTTCCTGACTTCCCAGGCTGTCAGCTCGCCTTGGATTCACAGGGATGCATCTGTCCACAGTGCACCGGCCACCCCCGAGGCTCTGCCATGGCTTCGTGGCTTGTGGTCCACACGGACGGAGCTGTGCCGCAGCATCCCCTCATCCCCTTGCTGCTATGGCAACGCTCAGTTATCCTCCCACCAGGACGTAATCTTCTTTCTCCTTGTCTTTAATAACGTGCAGTTAAAAGGCAATCATAAAGACATTAAATTAGTCACTGATTATTTTTGGCACAGGTTAGTTCTGGGGATGAATTTCCCTTTTCCCTGTGCAATTCCCAAGCCCCCCAGAGTCCTTATTGCTCTGACAGCCCCAGCTCGACTCCATCTCCTCCTGCCACAGGTACAGGGGGAGCCAAAAGCTTAAGCTGGTTGTACAGGTGGGTTTCCCACCGTCCTGGCTCTCAGCCCAAACCCACCGGCTCCCTGGCCTGGCTCTGGGTCTGGCCCCTGGATTTCATCCCTGGCTCCACCACACACACCCACCCAGATTCCCAAAGCTGGGGATGAAAACCACGCTTCCAGGCCTTGAAGCTTTCATCTTCCAACCCCTCACATGGACAGGGTTGGGCTCTTGACTTCATTTTAAAGATGAGAATTTGGATGCTGCCTGCAAAGCGCAGGTTCTCTGGGCAAAGCCTTTCTCTGCAGGTTGGTCCCTGCTTCAGCAAGAGCCCCATCACCTCCACGCTGGCATCTTCCCTTCACCCTGATGTGGGTGGCAGTGGGCACCGGCTCATCCAGGGCTACACAGGTGAGTTCCCCCCTTTCCTGGTGCCACAACGTGCTGCCTGGCAGCACCAGCACCAAACAAATACTGGAGATGCACGTGGCGCTCAGGCCAGGCATTGCACGGGCTTGTTGTAGATGCTTCATGTCTTGGAGCACTCCACCCTTCCCTTAGATGTGGTTGGAGGTTGCCACTGGGCTGAGATGCGATCGGAGAGGGGGAGCAGGGCTGGCGGCTGGATGAGAGGATCACAGAAACACCATTTCTCAGGGAAATGGGGTGAAAGAGCATCCAGATTCCTTGCAGGATCAAAACCTGAAAGGCACAAGTGTCCCCATAGCAACCTGGCCACGGCCCAGCACTGACAACAATATTCTGCTGACCCAAATTTCCTCTTTCAGTTGGATCCAGCATACATCAGCTCTTCCCATCCTGAACGGTTGTGCAACGGTTGTGTGTCGAAACACAGCTGCTGCCTCCTTACCTCGAGGTAGCAGCACATCCGCGTCAAGCAGAGAGATCATTTCCCCACGTGATTGCAAGAACCATAGAGCTTTACAGGTACGGGCATTATGCAGAAGTGACTGGGAAGTTACAGGAAGCGATGTCTTCTCTCTGCCAGCTGTGCTTCCCCTGTCCAATTAAGATCTCTCATCACAGGAAGCGTTAGATACGGTGAGCTGAGCAATCTCCTCGTGGAGGTGCAACTAATTGAAAGCCTGGAGCACTTTGGAAGCTGGACGCTCCTGTGGCTTCACACCACCAGGCACTGCAGTGGGGTTGGGTAGAGCTGCCCATGTCAGAGGGGGCTGGAACTGGATGATCTCAAGGTCCTTTCCAACCCAAACAATCCGTGATTCTATGAGATAAGCTTCACAAAGAGCAGAAGAGGCAACAGAAAGGGTGTGGGAAGCCCTGCGTGCCCTTCCTTGCTGTGACATCCATGTGTGAGCTGGGATGAGCATGGCACAGGGATGTGCTGCAAGCAGCGATCCCCCCCATGGCAAAGGCTCCGGCCCATGGCTCAGCACAGCCACTGGGATCGCACAGGGATGAGTAACACCCGTAACCCACCTCAGAAGCCCAGCACCTCGCTGGGTCGTTGGCAGCACCGATCCCTCTGTGATCTCTAGCTCTTCAGAGCAGCTCTACATTAAAGCCAGAGCTGATCACACTTTAATCCACGTGTGACCTAAATACTTGCAGTTACAAATCTCAGAGGTTTTCACTCCCTTTGCCTGGCAGAAGGAGCAGCATTCAGGTCAGTGGGAACAGAAGATGCTGGATCCCATTAAATGCTACTTTAAGTCTCGGCTGCTTTCAGTAATTGTTCCATGATCCATTTTCTCACAGCCCTGCACTGCTTCGGGCTAATCATCATTGTCTTTGAAGTTTTACAGCTGCTGGTACCTCCGAGGCGAAGACAAGTACTTGACTGCGTTGGAACAGGACATTTCAAGCGAACTGTCCTTGGAAGTGCCATCTGGGAATGGGGAAATGTTTGCCCCTCAAAGGGCCGCTGGTGGGGGTTGTTGCTCTATGGGTCTGAAACAGCCACATGGGGGGAAACTGAGGCAAAAGGAGCTTAAGGGGGAAGTGAAGCTTTGGGTAAGGGATGCTGGAACAGCCTGGGGATAATATCACAGTGGTCACAATCTGTCCCTTTCTGGTTTTCCTGCGGGAGGGCAGTGGCTGCTTCATTAGTGCCTTTATTCTTCTTGCCTGAGACGTTTTGTTGCAGGCCAGGAGGAGTGCTGCTGGTGTAAATCCAAGGCAGCTTCTCTGAATCCAGGGGGTTATGCTAGATCGATGAGGAAGTTATGGAGCTGTGGCTCTTTGACATCAAAAGGGGCTGTCTTTGGGACTGATGCTCATTCACAGCTCGCTGCCATCACCAGAAGAAAGCAAATGTCCTGGAAAAGCCAGGCTGCAATCACCAATGTGCCATGATTAATCCAAGCTTAGGCGGGGTTTCTGAATGAATGGCAGAGCAGAAGATTCAAGAGGGAGCCCTCAATGCACAGGGGCTCCTGCGCACTTGGCTGGGGCAAGGTCTTTGAAGGGACTTGGACAAGAGCCTCCACCTCCCGAGTTAAGCAATCCTTCAGCCTGCAGCACTGCCCTGCTTTCCGGGCTGTTTTCTCAGCCATACCACATGGGGATGGGAGCACTGGGGCTTGTCCTGACTCTTTTCCCTCCCAGAGAAACCAACCAACCTCCTTCTCCCTCCGGTTTCAGCAGCCCGTGCCATGTTGTGGGCCAGGATGGAGCCCTCCGTGATCACGCCTTGGATCACAGCAGCAGAGTTTGGCACAGGCTGAATTAGTTCCCATGATCGTCTACGCCACCAGTCTGGTATTTCTTGGCCAAAAGGCACAAAGGAATGAAACGGGGCAGGTAGGTGCAGGGACCCGCACGGGAAATGGCAGCGTGCCGATGTTTGCTTGCGTGCGCAGCCGGCGAGGGCTGAGGCAGGAGCCTGCAGGCTCTGGTAGTAACAGCTATTT